AAACTGATGGCATCTCATACTTCATACTAAATAAATTTTATATCGTAATTGTAACTTTTAATCTCAAAATGGGAATGGCTCTGTTTTGTTTAACGTTATTGAGTTGCTAAATATAGTGGTGAGTATTTATTCTATGGCATATAAAATGATATCATGAATTCACAGAATGCTGAGAAATCTTACGGATTTACCTCAAAATCTTTACCGGTGGAGTTACTTCTCGGTAAATTCCATAAATAAAAGCAAATCTATGGAAAATGGTTAGATACTTCGGAACAGTACCCACGTGGTTTTTTTTTTCGTTATTTTGTCGACCTATTTCAGTTTCAATTTTTTTAATTAGTACAAAATGTATCAATATAATAGGTATCCAATACTTTCTTTAAAATATATTTCATTATTTCAAATACCTACACGGGATAATTTTTGATTACAGAGTTCCTTGAGAAAAGCAATGGAGGTACTCGTTTCGAAAAACAACATTTTCTAATGACATATTCAGAAAACGTTTGGAAGATCGTAACCTGTATCGAAACTTCTTTTTTGTAGGTACCAATTCCAAAGCTTCCATCAACATTCGAAATGTCGAAAGGACGTTTCAACAACTAATAATTCAAAGGAATGGAATATAAAAATACACTCTAAAATAAATTGATATTTTTATAGGATAAATAAAATATGATATAAAAAATATGATATAAAATGAGACACGTTATTGGGTAGTAAAATATTTCTGTGTAGTATTGTCAAATGAAAAGCAGACATTTTCGAAACAGAAATATCACAGAAACAAAAAATCACTTATAATCATATTTTTTGATAAAAATTACCCAGGTCAGAAAAAATTAGAAAAACAATATTATCCCTAGAAATAAATTGAGCACGCTTCGGTTACACTATCTATGTAGGTACCTTCATGTAATACATCATTTGAAGTACCCGTATGCAAAGCTACTTCCTCCATTTTCGTGTGATTTCCATAATAGGAGTTCTCTTCCGTTCATTGCCATCTGCCATTGGCCTATCAGAATAGGTGGAGCCAAATATTCAAAATACCGGTGTAATTAACTTCTTAATGTCTGTGGGAAGTTTCAGCAATTTCATCGTTGTTAATGGTTTTGAATGCTACTTAGTTTTGATACGTACCAAAGAAATAATTCGTTAGTCTGATACCACGATAGAAATTGTGTGATACGGATTAGGAACGCCGATTTTTTGCTTGAGGCTGTGTGGGAATGTTTCCATGGGAAATATTTGATTCTTGACAATAATGATTCGTATATTCGGACATTTAAGTAATGTTATCCTGAGAAAATTTTTGTACCTGCACATATTTCTCACACCTTGTTGACCTGTCCGTCGTTGAAATGCCAGCCACTATTGACTTCTCGATGAAAACTTTGTCAGCTTTTAAATTATTATTTGAAGAATTAGAAATTTTGATACAGCGCTTTTGAATGCGAGTTTACATGCTATACATTGTAATTTTACCAGACCAACTAGTCACGAGGTTCAATGAAAAAGAAATGATTCATCTTTTGATCCCAGCCATATCACGTCAGGAATAAAGAATAGGAAACAGTTGAATAAAAGGCTAGATTATCCAATAATAAATTGATGGATTTAGCCGTTGCTACGTAATAGGAGATTAAAATGAAAAATGGTAATTAAAACTTCTCATGTTTTTATACCACTTGTATTTGTAACTAACGTTTCTGCAATTTCGTTCTACAAATACAATGAACTCGTATGCGATTGACAATGTCTTTGTAGGACGAAACTGCAGTAACGTTAGTTACAAATACAAGTGGAATAAATACATAGGAAGCTTAGATTATCATTAGAAATTCCAAAATAGTGATTAACGTTCATTTGCCATAATTTTTGTCAGTATGCTCATTTTAAAAGAACTTCGTTTGTAATAATGTTTGAGGAAATGCGATTTTGATGGTTGATATATGATTTTCTGTAATCAATAGATTGTTGGGAAATTTTAGATAAAAGTGAAAATTTAAGAATATGCTCAAGTTGATAGTCAGTTCTCCTCCTCTTCATTATTTTTTTTCAGTTGATGGTTTTCGATAATGAATGAAATGAATTTATTCAAAAAAAAGGTGGACAATGAGAAAAAAGCGAGGGTTCTTCAGACCACACGACTGAAGTGAAACTTCTTTAGCTCCATCTATCTGTATGTGTATATATTAATATACACATGTGAAGCTTGAGGAGACTGTTTGTGTGTGTCTGTGTGTGTGTGTGTGTGTGAAAGAGAGAAAAAGTAAGATAGAATTCTCAAGTCACTTCCTAGTTTTGACAAGCTGTATAAAGATATATTAGTTTTCTAGAAATATTTGATTTTATTATTGGTTTTCGTTGATCAATTAACATTAAAAAAAATCATTTTAATTTATTATTTTCATTATCTTATACATAAGTGATTACTGTGGTTGATTGTAAGACTGAGATGATATGCTTATCGTATGGTATACGGTATTTACCAAGCGTTGTCCATCTTCATACGCGGCATCAACATTGAAATCTCCTGCTGAAATTGGTGGCACCGTATGATATCTTTCTGCTAATTCATCAGAGCCTAGTCGACCGTAAATGTATACTCACACATATATCTGTTGCCCTCACAGCAATATACTACACGTAACTCTCTCTTTTTATCTTCACTAACTTATATATCCCTCTCAACTTACGTTTGCCTGGTCCGATCACACTTTTCGTAACGCTCTGGGTCACGCATTCACCAGCTTACTCCCCGAGTCAAGCGCGCGTAAAGAAGTTTTACTTCAAAAAACTAAATATAAACAGAATTACCCGTAAATGCAAAGCAGTAATTTTCACATGTAAATTTTAAATGTAATACAGAAATATAAATAAAATAGTCTGGGTGACTTTGTCCTCTGGGGTAGCTTTGCCCAGTTTTGAAAAAACAGTTTCGCGCCTATATAGTAAATAGCTGAAAGGTAGTTTGAGGCGCTGCAGTCAATGAAACATACCTCCCCAATCACAACGAGACATTCTATACTTTATAGGTCGTTCCAGATAAGTGCTATCACCAATTAACTGTTTTATTTGTAACGTGTGTTATCCATGAAAATTTGAGCTCTTCAAAATTACATATACACAGCTTCAACGAACACAAGGTGAGTTTCATCACTTATTATTATTATTAGTAAATGTAATGAAGAATTTATTCCACTTGCAATTTCGTTCCTGCACCCAACCTGTTGATTGTTATTCGAGTGGGCAATATTACCCCACGTATTACACAAAAATTGGGGTCGCTTTGCCCACCTTTTATTTGAAGTGTTACATTGTAATTTTAGTTTTTTCCTTTCCCCTCCTTCAGATAGAGAAAGCATTGAAATCGCTACAAAATACGACTTATTTTGCCCACAAAATTTTAAAAACTTTTATGTCGTTCATAACACTTCTGTCGACAGTCCTGGCAACTGTACTATTTATTTTCGATTTTTTGAGCAATTTTTGTTCTTACTGTGGCTCTTGTAACACCCTGTGGAGGTGACTTTGCCCATCTTTTATGTATAGCTTTGTTATGCAAAGAAAACATCTGTTGGGCAAAGTCACCCCACTTCAAGAGGTGACTTTGCCCACCGATATTTTATTTTTTATTTAAGAGGCGAAATGATATACAAATAAAATAACTACATAAATTACATCTACAAACCACCGTCTGAAGGTATAAATTTTATCTAGGATATCAAAAAATGGGTTATGTGAAAATTATCAACTTAAATTTTAAAATTGGGCAATGTCACCCCAATTGACCGGTATAAACTTCAGTATGAAACTAAAACCGCAGCTAAAACCGAGCTTCAGTGATAGAGAAACGCGTCTAGAAATAAAAATATTTGTGAAAATAGTGTAATTATTAACCAAAACTTTTTATTCCATTTGTATAATACAAATCATGAAATTATAAAACAACAATAAAAATTAATTGGCGCTCCGGGGCGACTTCATTGATTCCAGTGGTGCATTTGCTTTTTCATCACAAACGACGCATCACAAATTTAACTTTCCTATCAAGGTCATCCGGTGTATTCTCATAACGTCAATATTCACTAATACATGGACTTATGTAATTTTCAATCATACATCCTTTGCACAGACTCGCTGAGTTCTATTCAAGCAATTGGAAACTCTTTCAGTGAACATCCGCTGGTTCAAAGAATCTTAACACTGATGAGTTGTCTCCAGTTCAAAGGAAAATCGATCGTATTTGTTTGGGTTCCTAGTCATATAGGAATTGACGGTAATGAGAAAGCTGACAATGCAGCAAGAGCTGCAACTAAGAATAATGTCGATCTGAATAAACCTGTGACTCCAAATGACACAAGAAAATTCATAAAAAAGTCAATACTCAACACATGGCAACAAGAATGGACAAACAACGATTCAAAATTGAAAGATATCAAACCTGATATTGCATGAGACTTCCACAAGGGCTAACGAGAAGAGAACAAGTCATAATAACACGACTTAGGATAGTACATACGAACTTAACATCCTCTTATATACTGAGAAGACAAAGACAACCGTTCTGCGAAAATTGCCAAACTTTGATGACGGCTAAACACCTTCTCTTAGAATGCCACCAGTATGAAGCCGATCGACAACGATATAACTTACCGGAAAATATCAGAACTTGCCCCGGTACCAAAGCTATAAGAAATGTTTTGAACTTCCTGAAAGCAACAGACCTTTTTAACAAAATATAAACAGATATCGTATACTACAAAATGGCTAATGACCTCAGCAGTCGATGCCAGAATAATAATTAAAAAAAAAGTTCATAATTATTTGTATTTTTTGTAACTATTTCATATATTTTGCTTTTCTTATTTACTGAAGCGATCAGGCCATCTGAGATCCAATAATTTCTTTAGCTTTTTTTTCGTTATTTCAATTCTCACATGTATTTATGCTTCAAGATTGTAATAATTCCCTGTTTTGGAGAAATTTACCTGAAAATAGACTTGTCCATGATCAACCCATCCGACAACCATATCCGCTCCGGCCATCCTACCGTCCTTTGAAAATCCGAACCCTACATATCCCAGCGTCCTCACTTGTAACTCGAACGTGATATCTTGCGGTCCCGGACCCAAAGACCACAACAGACGATAATCCGGACTGAGATAGGCTGAATGGGCCCATCTCGCGCAATCGGAGATGTTCACTATACACAACACACAGAACACTGAAATCAACTTCGAAAGAGGCTTCATCGTTGTAGGACGGTTGTTAGGCAGAGAAATGCATTATCTGGAAAGGAAAATAAAACTGTTAGTAAGGTGGGTATATTTGAGAAACTTCACTCATGCTTAAGCATGAGTCTGAAACAGTAGGTTGAACCAATTCAATTTCACAGCTACCTGATTGTAGTTTAAAAATATTCGGAATTAAACGATTCCATCAAGAGTATTAATGGTTGTTGTCGATGCCGATTTTTTAAACTCACCATGAAATTATTGCCAGAAATTCAATGGCGATGAAAGTACGAGTAAATGGGTTTTGTGAATGTATTTTGAGAATAATAGAATGGCTTATCATAAAGTATATCTCAATTCAGATAAAAGCCTACATTTCTATAAAAGCAGTTCATTGACAATGTCTGTTCGCTTTACACGGCAACATTTCAATTTATTATAATACTGGCACTCTCCAATCTTTCCTAATGATACTTGATGAATGGGTATCAATTCACAAAATTACTCAACAACGGCTGATAGGTTAATGGAATCTGAACCATCCAATTTCTTGAATTGGATAATATCACATATGACGATGCAGGAAGTTGAAACATGCCGTGGTTATTCTTTATTTGGGTATAAGAAAAGAAGATTCCTGCTATCTATATTCTCCCTCCAGTTAAACTATCTTTGAAAAAGCAAATATTCCATACAGGTGAAAATGTACACACATTTGAGTGAACTCAGAGAGCTTTCAACTCCTTAGATCGCAATAAGTCCTACAGAAAAAATTACATAAACCTAGCTATTAATGTGATTGAAAGTCGTTATCAAAATGTGATTATGGTTGGATGTATTTCCAGGGCTTTTCAGGTGTACCTCTAACAGAATTTCAAGTGTCTTCTTTAATTCGTTCAAATTATGTCAAACCTTGAAATACCCATTGAAGATGCATAAGAAAATATAGGTAGTATTGACTTTGATGTACAAAGTTCAATGACGTCGATATTGTTCATTTTGAAGAAGCTTATAATAATTTCTGATAGAATTCAATACATTTTTGAAGTAAGAGAAAAATAATTGTCAACGTTATGTGTATTGTCTTGGATGGGGAGGATTCATTTTTGATCATGCAAAACAATAATAATGGGTAGTCGAAAATTCCATTTGAGGTGATTCCCGATAAACTGTTATATAAATATATCTGCAGACTAGAAGAGTTGTGAGACTCACAGCTTCAGAAGTTTTGGAATATTTCATTTCGATTCTTGCCATTCATAGCTTCACTAGTTATTCAATTTCATTCCAATCGCGATAGAACGATGAAAAATTGTCTGGCTTGTATTCCAGAAACAATTTCTCTGATTGAATTCCATCCCATAGGAATATTCGCGTACGTTAGCCATCGTTCTCTTCGAAATCCAGGAATACGTCAAATCATCTGCCTGTCTAGAATTCAGTTATCCAAACTTTGCCTTCTGCACCGTAATTGACAGTTTGTGAATCCCTAACTGTGAAATTATTTCCCAATACCCAGCTTTGCTATGCTGTCAGCGTGCCGTCAGAATCGATAGTTATTCCACTACGTTTTATACTCCAAATAAATGCTGACACAACTCCAACATAACTCCAGCACAATTGCCGATATCGAAGCTGTTATGCAGTTTATTCGATTCATGCAAACCGTTTCTATTTTGGTAGGATGATCAACGGAAAAATTGACGGTAATAACGAGCAGCTTATTACGAATTTTTGAATGGAAACATAATTAACTAGCAGCATGTGTCGTGGTTACTGATACATGCAATTATTTCTGATGCGAGTTCGACATTAGTTGATATAATTAGTAGCAATTCATTATTCCTTTTCTTGGATAGAGCTGGCATTAGAATTGTTCTATTTCCCACAATTTTGTAACACACTGGGGTCTATTAATTCAGAAATTATTGAGGTCGGTACATGACTCAGGTTTTCCGATGCCTTCGAAACTTTAGAAACCAAAAAAATGTAAAATGAACAGCCGGAAAAGAACCATTTCTAACAGCCCGTTGTTACGGCTGTACGTAATAATTACAGGTAGGTATAGAAAATTGGTAAGAGAAGTTTCATACCAGGTAATGATTAACATCAGGAACAATATCAATATAACATACTAAGTTATTCTAGGAATTAATTCAATTGGGTTGAGGTGATGGTCGTTTCAGATGTACATAATAACATTGAGGCAGCCCTAAAATTTAGTTCTAGTCATATCCTGATAATGCATGCTAACTTGGTTAGCGAAATGCGCGTCGAATGACTATATTTTGTTCTGGTGTAGAAAAAGTGTTTTCATTTTACGCCTGAGGTTTCATTTCTACACGTCGTCGTCGATTTTCTTTATTGACTTATTTTTTTGTTTCAGAAACATACAAATATCGTGGTATGGACTATTTACTAAAATTTTTTTATGCCAATTTACTTATCCAAAAAATACTTCAATGTGAGATTTCCTCATGACAATTCACAAAACCGCGACACTGATTTGAATTATGTGAAATTAATTCAATTTAGAAATAGTCAACTATGTAAAATTTTTTATACGGATCATGACTAACCTGAACAATATTATTAATCATTTCGGAGTAACATCAAGATAAAATAGGGCATGTGGGTGATTCAGACACAATAGTTTCGAATCATTGGTGTCATTAGGAAATAATTGATTTTAAAAGAAATGAAAGTGTTTCACCTTCGCTAGTTCGTCAGTTGCATAGGTACAGTTATGGGCAACAAAAAGCTTCAATCGTCTCTTTCGATCGTAATTTAAGGTGAATCGAATCAGTGAGAAGCGATGATCTTTGAGAATTTAATGGCCTACCAGAGGTGTATAATTGATTACTTTTCGTTTCAACCGATTCAATCATTACCGCAATTCATTTGACAGGCAAATGATTTCTTTGTTCTCGAACAAAATTCGTTGAATTTGATGAAATGAATGAGTAGGTATTCAGTTTACACGGTATATGTACAATTCACGAAAGAAAAAACTGGAATTCACCGGATGATTGTCTGACGTTGAAAAATGTTCGTCGTTAAGCAAATGTTTGCCGCTATTTTTAAATGTAAGTTTAGCACCTAAGTAATGTAGGTACGTTTCCATAATTAATGGTGTGGGATAATCTTTTGTTTTCTTTTACCCTTCATTTAGGTATGTCAGCGTACATTCAGAATAATGGAAAAAGTTATTTGCTGAATTTTTCATTGCTTGGGCATGCTTATATATGACTCACAGTCACATATTGTCATAATTTCCCAATTCGGGTTGAAACCTATTGTGAATATTGAATATTTGACACAGCATAAATAATAAAGTTCTATTTGTACAACTTGTTGTACAAATAAAATTGTTTTGAATGAAATTGAATTTGTTAATGAATACGTAACAAATACTGAAGAGTATGACGAGAATGAAATCATTCACAGTTTTGAAAAATTAATTTATGAATTTTTATCACAATATCGAATACGAAAAATTAATATTCACCACAGAATATGAAATTTTCTTTAAATTGAAAGGGGTTAATTTTCAGGAGCGATTAATTTTTTGGGAAAGATAAGTTTCGACTTTCTACTTCTCAATTTTTACACAAAAACGTTGAATTTTCCAAAACCTATAAGAATGGAGACCTAGAAAGCCACCCCTTTTTTCTCATAAAATATTGTGTAGTTCACGATAACAATTTAAGCGGTAAAGATTAAGAACTTCAAAAAATCCAATCCAAATAACAGCCACACTTAGATATCAATCTGTCAATTGAACATTGTCGATGAACATAATTATAAATGTTTCATTCAGGACTGTATTTTATGATGCATTCGAGGCTTCCAATGCTTGTAAACTTAAAATTCGTTTTTATGACTACAATTTATTGAAGTGGGTAACAAGATAAGTACACCTATCTTTTACATGAAGGGATTATGAATCCTTAAAGTTGGCAACGCGAATCCTTACTCAAATTGGATTTACGACAATACAAGCTTTTCTACAAATGCACTTATTATTTCTAATAATATTATTGCTATCAACGAAGTCGTACAAAAATATTCGATTAGGATTTCTTGAAAAACGTGATTCGTGTCTCCTTGACCGTAAATATCTGGCAATTATTTTACTAATAACATGAGTTGTGTAACTCTACTGACAGGATAGATAAAACTGAATTTTCTGTTTGAAAGGTCACTTCAATCAATATCATCGGAAAAATAATATAAATGACAGATATAGTTAAATGTTGACGAATGGTATAGTGAATGAAATCGTTGAAGAAAAACGTTTTTTTTTTTGGAAAAAAACTTTCGGATTTCTACTTGTCTATAATCTAATGACGATTGGAAAACCTATAAAGCAAGTTAAAAAAGTTGAAGATATCAGTGAAAACTCTATAAAAATGTGATTTCTGTGTTCAATATGTATTAGATAGAAACCATCTATATCTGATCTACATAGACTTGTTTCATGTCAAAATGGATACCTACTCGTATATTTCTTGGTAGAGTTACTGAAATAGCAATGACAGTTTCCAAGAAAATTGAACCATTTCGAACTAAAAGGAACTATATTTCTGACGATGCTAAATTCCATCCAGAAAAGATCCAACCGTCTGATTGGAAACACAGCCTGGATTATTGAAATATTGTGGGGGACTCATCTTTTTCCACATATACTTTCACGAGAAATGTCCCACTGACAAACCACTTGAGTTCACCGAGGGCGTTTTACTGTAGGTGTTAATTGCTTCGAGGTTCAACTCCATACACTTCGAACAAAGAAATCCATATATGTTTCCAAATGCTTTCCATTTATTTTTTCAATACCTTTTTTTGTGCAAAGTAGTCTTCATTTATATTATTAACGAAGGAAAATAAATCCAAAAGGTTTATTGTCATAAATGTGGAGAATTTCAATTGGTTATTTTGATTTAAGAATACATTAAAACAATGTTTCTAATTATATTATTGTAGATGTATTGTAGTTATGAGATCATTAATCAATGCAACTTTGTCTTTCTCATCATTGTCTATAGGAAAATT